CTCTCGTGTGCTTCTTCGGGGATCCCAGCTACACGGATTTCGGTCACTCACGATGATCCAATTCGGGGAAGAATTTGCGGTAAAACATATATTTGGGAGCAGCGAAAAACGTGCCCTTTTCTCACGACGCGCGGCGTTGACATTATGTTGATCACGTGACGACAAGATGTCCGTAATTTTAACGTACCAATAGTAAGCAAGAATCACATCGATCCGCGAAATACACGGACATCCAAACCAAAGTAACATTGGTGTAACGGTAGCGAGTATTCAGCGCAAATAAAAAAACAAATTTCGGCTGTTTATTTAACTGGCCGAACCACACCTTACTTCTGTATAATACAGTAAATCTCCATATTCGCTTTCAATGTCGTCAAGGAATTGTTTGAATTGCCTTTGATTGAGTCCTCGTGATTTTATGAAATTTACAGTCGAAACTACTACTTTCATGACATTTAGAAGTTCAATTTTTTTTAGAACAGAGGGCTTCTTGGTGTATAATGCAGTGAAACTGCATGAGATCTTCAGCGTTTATGTTTTTTATCCTATCTTATCTTAGTTTTTTCATTTAATTTTTCCGCAATATTACCTGACAAAGACATAATTCGTCTTTGGATAGTCATACGATTCAGTTGAATTTTCTCAAACTTTTTTGCTGCATCTGGACACATTTTGGACACTGGACGGCAATTTCTATGCATTCTTTTACAAAATCCCCATCATTGAAGGGGCGACTTCGCTTTGCTATCATTCGAGAAATTTCATAACTATCTTCTGTAGCTGTTTCTGAATCTTGAATGGGTTTTGTAAACATAGCTTGCTGAACAATAATCTCCCGTTTTACAGACAACATTTTTGCTTTCTTAATTCGCCTGTAAACTTAGTAAAAGTAGGATGCTACGTTTCATAGTGCCTTTTTACATTATATTCCTTTGCAATCGCAATAGAATTCTTGCAAATTAAACAAACGACTTTATTATGCGACCATACAAAAAAGTATTTCTCAGTCCAAATTTCTTGAAACTGCCGATTTTCATCTTTAACCTTACGTTTTTTACTAGGTCCTGGCTTGTCCATGTTGCGTTCTAATCCTGGCTAGGATTAACACAGTACCTAAAAACAATTACAGTACCTACTTAAATTACCCATCCTTTTTTAAAATACCAAAAATAATTGATTAAATAGGTAGGGAAACACTTATTAATAATAGAGTTTTACTTACGATTTCACAACACAATTATACACGGCACTTGACGGGAAATCTACGTTGAATGTGGATCAAAATATATGACACCGGCTAGTCGAGTTAAAATCTACACTAGAACTATTGACACTTCACTCAAATTAAAACCGAACTGTCGGTCGCTGCGGTTAGCCTGGCTTTTATACCGCGCGTATAGAGTCGAAAACTGTCTAGAGAAATCACGAAACCGACTCTGGAAGCTTCGTGTATCTACCTACGCGAGCAATCGGGAATTCGGGACTATAGCTATCTCGCTTGCTCTAACCATATAACCCGTGGATAAGCCGCCACCGCGCTGCCGTCGTCGCCGCGCCGCCGGCCGCTGCGGTTCCTCAAGAAAACGAATTTAACCGAGATCAGCACGAACATTACCGACCGCTGTTACCGACGCATGCACGGCGCAACGATAAGCGCACTTAAGAGCGCACGCGCGAGATTCAAATTACTTTTCGAACGTATTTTTTTTGGTGTTATTCTGGAATATAATTCAATATTTTTCGAATGTACGAGAGTATTATTTTTGCTGTCGGCGGGCCACCCGTATTCGACCCGGGCTGCGGTCTGTGCATCTACGATCTAGAGAATCTGTTGTAAGGTTTTAGATTTGAAATTACATGTTGTTTTACAATTCAATTTATTACTAATTGATCTCAACAATTTGTGATTCAAAGATACTTTATGATTTATTTGTGCGATAGAAATAAAAAATATGTTTTAAGTAAATTTAGAGAATTTTACTTAATACTATAAGAAACTATAAATTTAGGAAGTTAAATAATTAATTTGTATGTAGAATTTTATTTTGTTTGTTTGTTACGCACCTGGCATCACACTGGAAATGTAGCTGGATCTTGGAGCTCACACAACTGATTCATCCTTGCGTTCGAGGACCGGCTGGATGTCCTGAACGCCCCGATAATCTCGAACGCATCCTCCAGTATACGTCAGCTTGTATCTCTCTTTGAGTTAAATTTTTATGGCATCTTCTGTATTGCCGATAACCTGGCGGAGTATCTTTTGGGATACGAAACATTTTTATTTGATCTGTGGCTGAAACATTTTTATTTGATCTGTGGCTTATCTGGCACGGTTCTTTAAAGATACAATAAATATTTCTTGAACTACAAAAGTAAGAAATTTATTTTCATTTTTCCCGTACCATTTAGACTCTAAAACTAAACCACTTCTAGCAAAAAAAATTAAAATTTTTGGGGAAAACACCCTGCCAAGTATAGGGTTAAAGGGTTATTTAAGTAAGAAAAACGTATAATGGAATGTGCCCCGTGTTATAGAGTTAGAGAACGAAAAAGTAAATGCAATGGGACCATATGATTGGAAAAAGCTATGCGACAAAGTCAAGACAATCGAAGAAGCTTATGTCAAAAGCGACCATATCATCGATAAAATGACGGAAGTATTTATAATATGGGTTGGAGATTCTGACAGCAGTGATTTTGAAATGGATTCCTAAACTGACATAGAAGATGAAATCACAACTCTTGGCCCAAATTCTGGTATACCACTTGAAAATTATATAGAAAGTGTCATGCCAATGAGTGAAAGTGATAAAACATATAACTAATTGCTGCTGTATTACATTTTTATTAGTATTCCTTTAACTGTCCTGTTTAACAATACGTAACAACCTCAAATAAATTAAACAATAAGAAATACAATAATTTGAAAATCGAGATAATTTTAATGAAATTCAAAAATGCTCCCGCTATGCAATTTTATGCTTATTATTACTTAGTTATTTGATGTACATACTTGTGACCTTGAGTAGCTGTTACTAGTATTCTTGTGTATGCGTTCGTGTCGCGTCGATAGCGACAGCGTAAGGACGTTTGTTGTATAATTATATCAGTGCTCTCGGGGCACATTTGTGCTCCGCGCGTGAAATAAAGTAACAATTTTAAGTACGACAGATGTAACATATTTTGGTTATTTTATGCATTTTTTTTAATAATTTATTTTACAAAAATGTATTTAAAACTTGTTTGGTGTAGTGCTTAAAACAGTCCATTTTAATTGGTTGCTTAAAATTCATTTTATTTTCAATAATAATACGCAATATGAAAATACTCCATATTTATGTTGTTATTTAGGAGGGCCCTAGACGGTAATGTGGAATAACATGCTTTGCGTGCTGTTAACTGCCATGCATGCATGAGCGTTTACTAATTGTATTGATTGATGCGAATGACATCATTATATTACCTAGGTACTTACGCAAATTACGATTTAATAATTTATTTTACAAAAAAATTTTATGTTTATTTAAGTAATTATAAATATGGCCCTGTTCACAATTTACCTATTATAACATGTGAACAAGAATAACTATTTAATAAATAATAATAAGACTTTAAAAAGCGGTCAGCTACAGAAAACCAAATTAATTGAGGTCTGTATACATCATCCTCTCCCGCGCCACACTTTTTTAACTTTGCTACCTTACTGGCCTCTCTATTATATGTGGTTCGTATATTTTTATCTTCAATTTAAGCTCTTCAACTGTTATGGACAAACGCATTTTTTGAATAATAGATTTAAGAGCCGCTAAACGTACATTATTGCTCCTGTAATCTTGTTCTCTTGGGTTCCATAAGCATGGATGCATTTCATAGCATTCCAAAAACTGTACGGTGTTATTTTTATTAATGGTTGTCACGATACATATACACAGAATCGTTGTAGTAAATAAAAACACGTGCGTGCGCGAAACACCTTCATGCGGCGGGCGATCGCCTGCAACTGATCGTTTACGCAGTCGATTTTAGTAAGCAGTCGCATGCGGCCTGTATTTTATGTATAAAATAATTGTATATTATAATTAGCGTACAAAATTTACGCAATCATTCTATCTTGCCGACAAAATAGTCAGCATATCTATCGCGCAGATCTTTTGCATTTCGTGAATAGTTGTTAGAAGATAGCGGTGTCATTAATTCGTCTACTCCTGCCGTAGGCATGCTTCTCCAAATTCCGTTTCTGATTGTCCCTGAACTGAAGTCTTCTTCGTCGACTAATTTGGGAGTAGTCATGTATATGCGATTAGTCTGAAGCCAGTTATGCAGCGCACAGGTCGCTTTAATAATAGAATCAGTTTTATCCAATGAAACAGATATAGGTTTTCTGTATACTCTGAATCGTGAAGCCATTATGCCAAAGGCATTCTCTACGATTCGGCGTGCTCTTGATATTCTGTAATTAAAGATTATTTGTTCCAAACCTTCATGTCTTGAATACGGATTCATTAAATAGGTTTCCAAAGGGAAAGCATCATCACCAACGAAAACTGCCTTATTAGGTAGTTCCAAATTATTTCTTTCAAGAGCACTATAGAATTTTGTTTTTTTCCAAATATGCGAATCATTCATGCGTCCATTTGTTCCGAAATCTATATATATGAAACGGTAATGTGCATCCACTATAGCAAACAACACCACACTATAAGTCCTTTGTAATTATAATAGTCTGAAGCTACGAGTGGTGGATTTTCTATTAATACGTGTTTCCCGTCAATAGAAATTGCCAGCGATCTAAAAAATCCGTTGATCTGTGGTGGATGGCACCTAAAAGAAAAAGAAACTAAGGGAAAAGAAAACGAAGATTCAACGGTGCACACAAACAGCGACGCGTCTTCATATTTTGAAGAATTTGGACAAGAATCTAATATTGCGCACTTACAAAAGAAAACAAATTGTCTCCAAAGAAAAAGGCGGAGCGTGCTCTAAGAATGGACGCACCTAAAATGGACCCACCTGTTTTACAAGCAGTCAATAGATTAGAAACTTTGGCTCAAACTATCCGTCAAGATGAATTTGATACATTCGGAGTACATGTGGCAAGCCAATTACGTAGTTTGCCAGTAACAAATGCTATTGTTTGTCAAAATTTCATCAATAATTACTTGTCACAAGAAAGACTGAAAATCTTAAATATACAATATTTTCCAATTGCTACGAGCTCACTCTCAGAGTATACACGCTATACTTCGACTCCTGAAGCCAAAGCTACTACTTCCCGAAACCAACAACTTCGATTCCCGAAGCTTGCACTTCTGGAAGGCACCTCGAACATGAAGAAGACTATTTTGCCAGCTGTTGACTGACACAAGAAAATACTGGGCAACAATACGCAGTGAACGACGATATTCTATCTCAAGCAGATCATGCTTAGATGGAAACACAATGGAAAATTTATAAATAAATCGTTTATAAATTAATTACCAGTTTCACTTACCATAATGAACTCCTGTAAAACATTGTATATAGCATCCAAAACATCCTTTAATGTTTTAAAAAATGGGAAATTGTGCATTCTGGAACTCTAAATGACTCTGCAAGTCTTGAGTAGTTATCACGGGTAGCCAAGAACTTCGGGGTTATTTCTAATTTAATTTTCGAAGAAAGTGCTTCTCGCATAGTGGTATTGCATTTTTGTATAAGTGGAGTAACCCTATGTAGTAAAGTATTAAACTGATCAGTAGTCATTCTTAGTCGTTTTTTAAAATAATCAGGATCTTATAAACTCCACTGAACCAATAAAGTATCCAAATCACCCAAGACCTTACGTCGAGAAATCCATCCACGTACCCAAACATTACGTTTTCTTCTTTCCTTTTGTTTTTTCTTCTCTCTTTGTTCTTTAAGCAATTGATGAATAATTGAATAATTAATAATTTATATATTATTTCAATTCCGACACAAACGGGTATTCTGCTCTGCTCAACATTTTCAATGGAAATGACCGAGCCGCATGCGATTTTAGTAACCTGTGTAAATGGGCTAGCGATGCGGCTTGGTGAGGCAATTTGTGAAGCGACTCGCCGCACGACGAAAATCGACCCGTGTAAATACCCCATTATGCATCAAGGAGACCTACTATAATATTGCTCGCCACAGTTGAGTTGGCACTGGCGCCATCTGGCATCAAGTATCAGAAATAGGAGTATCAAGATTTTTCTAGAACCCTCCCAAAAGCACCATCTAGTATCGAACAGAAGAATTAAGCTTTATAGAAAAGTCCACACTCGAACTTTCTGCACTTAGTCGGTCGGGACCGGTATTTGCTGGAACATTCCGGAAGTTTCGGTGAAAAAGGCCTATTTAAGGCCGTTGGAGGCCGCGACCGGGGCAGTATTGAATTGGCGATACGAGCGAAGCTTTCGGATTGAAATAAAGTTAACCAAAGTGTTAAGTGTAATTATTAGTGTGATTTAAGTTTTAATTGGTGCTTAAATTGACACTTTAATTACAGAAATTAAAGTGTCAATTTTGATAATTCAATCGGCAGTTTTTATTGTTACGAACCCTAAGCTCGTAACAATAATAATACTTTTGTATCATAGACCTTACTATCATAAGTCATTAATATATAGGACTTCAACCCACAACCCTACTATTGTAATGCAAATTCATCATACAGACCTTCTATAGTATTGATTTTGTATCATAGACCTTACTATTATATGTCTTTAATATATGGGACTTTAACCCTTAACTCTAGTATCATAATGCTTATGCATCTTTTTTTTTTTTATAGAAGAGGGGGCAAACGAGCATGTGGCTCACCTGATGTTAAGTGACTACCGCCGCCCATGATCAACCGCAACACCAGGGGAATTGCAGGTGCGTTGCCGGCCCTTTAGAAAGGAGTAAGCTCTTTTCTTGAAGGTCCCCAGGTCGTATCGGTCCGGAAAAATCACCGGTGGTAAATTATTCCACAGAGAGGTTGTAGGCGGAAGAAAACTCCTTTTGAAACGTACAGTGGTGGACCGCCAAGCATCCAGATGGTGTGGATGGTATCGGGACGTTTGCCGTGTAGTGCGTTCACGAAATTTGGCGGCTGGGATTAATCCGAACAATTCCTCAGAGCACTCCCCGTGATAGATGCGATAAAATACGCAAAGAGATGCAACATCTCTTCGCAGCGCCAGTGAATCGAGCCGATCGGAAAGCACTCGGTCGTCAACGATTCGAGCCGCTCTGCGCTGGATGCGGTCAAGTGGAAGGAGCTGGTACTGGGGAGCCCCAGCCCAGAGATGGGAACAGTATTCCATGAGCGGCCGAACCTGCGCCTTGTAAAGTTGCAGGCGGTGTGCCGGCATGAAATACTGTCCCGCTCTGCTGAGCACGCCTAGCTTTTTAGAGGCCAATTTGGCCTTCCCTTCCAAGTGACCACGAAACTGCACGTCACTCGATATGTCGACGCCGAGGATTCCGATACTGGCTGAGGCAACAAGGGGAGTGCCTTGAAACTGAGGGGATACGACAAAGGGGTTCTTTTTAGCGGTTAACGCGCAAACTTGTGTCTTCTGGGGGTTAAACTGGACTAGATTTAGTCGCCCCCAATCCGAGACTCTGTCCAGCAGAGACTCGACTTCAGACACAAGTTTGTCCCGGCACTCAGAGACGTTTTCCCGAGAAATATTGGCTCGGCCGGTGTAAAGAGCATCACCAGTGCTGTCATCTGCATAGCAATGAATGCTACGGGTTTGCAACATATCATTGATATGCAGAAGAAACAGCGTTGGCGATAGCACGCAGCCCTGTGGAACACCAGCATTAATAAGCTTGCAATCGGAGCTTGCACCGTCTACAACGACCTTGATGCTCCGATCTGCAAGAAAACTGGTGATCCAATCGCACAATTTCTCGGGAAGCCCATAGCAAGGGAGCTTCGAAAGAAGCGCTTTGTGCCAAACCCGATCGAAGGCCTTCGCAATGTCCAAACTAACGGCCAATGCCTCCCCCTTGGACTCTACTGCCTCCGCCCATCTGTGAGTTAGGTAGACCAGAAGATCACCAGCTGACCTACCACGGCGAAAACCGTATTGGCAGTCACTAATCAGCTGGTGATCCTCAAGGTACCTCATGAGCTGGCAGTTTACAATGGACTCCATTGTTTTGGAGAACAAGGAGGTGATGGCGATAGGCCGGTAGTTGGACGGGTCTGAGCGGTCGCCTTTTTTAGGGATTTTGGGACTACGCCTAGGGAGTAGGAGTACCGGAAAAGACGCGTTAAAACCGGTGCCAACTCTGGAGCACACGTCCTCAGCACAATTGGGGGGATTCCATCAGGCCCACTTGACTTATGGATGTCCAGGGAGAGGAGTGCTTTGCGAACCGAGCGCTGAGTGAACTGCACTTCCGGCATGGAGCACTCACACCGCGGGATTGTCGGCGGCGTACTCCCCCCGTCATCGAGAGTCGAGTTAGACGCAAAGAAAGAGCCTAGAAGATCGGCTTTCTCCTTTGCGGTGTGGGCCAGTGAGTCGTCCTCCCTGTGCAGAGATGGAAGAGATGGCTGACAGAAATTCCCCTGGACAGCCTTGGCGAGAGACCAGAATGCACGGGTTCCAGAAGGAAGACGAACTAGTCTCTCGCCAATTCTGCCTATGTGCTCTGACTTTGCCTTGGCAATGACTCTTTTGAAGGACCTAGAGGCGGAATTATACTTCTTTTTTAGAGCGCTGGTGTTTACATCCCTGGACGCTGATGCGTCAGCCCAGGCTCGGTAGCACTCCTGCTTATAGCATGATGCTATTTTACAGGAGCGACGAAACCATGGCTGAGATTTGCCTCCAATGGGCACCACAGAGGAAGGAATAAAAAGTTCCATACCCTGAAGTACCACATCAGCGACAGAATCCGCAACAACGTTGGGATCATCCGGCGAGAAGCAAACCCGCCCCCAAGGGTAGGATGCAAAAAAAGACCGCATCCCATCCCAATCGGCTGACCTATAGTGCCAAACACGGCGGCAGCCTGCAGAATGCAACCGCGATTTCAGCGTGAGTGGCACCACACTCCGGACAAGACAATGGTCCGAGGAGCCTAAAGGGGCGTCAACGGAAATCTGATATCCATCCGGGTGAGAGGTCAGCAGAAGGTCCAACAGGGAAGGTGCATGATCCTCCACATCTGGAATCCGCGTAGGCGAAGTAACCAGTTGTGTCAGACCATATGCCAAGGCAAAATCATGAACAGATCTCCCCGCATGATCGGTTAAACGTGAACCGAGCCATTCGGCGTGATGGGCGTTAAAGTCGCCGAAGATCACGATCTCTGCGGAGGGGATCTGCTGTAGCAACGAATCTGCAGCCATTTGGACGTGGTCGAAGAGTCGGTCTGTTTCGGCATTACCGCTATGGGACCTATAGAGGCACCCGTAGACGCGCGGATGGTCGTCGCTGTCTACGCGTAGCCAAAGGATGGACAGGTACGAACCTTCAAGTCTGCCGAGGCGTCGAGAACAGATGTCCTCTCTGACGTAAACGCAAACTCCAGCCCGAGGCACAAAGGAGTGTTCCAGTTTGTACCCCGGGCAGGAGAAATACGAGACATCAACCGGAGAGGACACCTGCGTCTCGGTCAGAAAGAGCAGAGCCGGCCTCGCCGTCTCGAGATGGTAGTGGACGGCGTTTAGGTTAGAGTGAAGTCCCCTGATATTGCAGAAATTCACGGACAGCGTGGCAGGGGTCGCCTTGGTCTTGTTGCTCCGTTTGCCCCGAGCAGTTTTAGTCTTGAGCGGAATATTGCCCCCCCCCCCAGAATACGCGGGGCAGCCTGAGCACCCACGCTCAGAAGTGGAGAAACATGGTCGTGGATGCTCAGCGAGGGATTCTCCAGGGGTGCTGCTACCCTCCTGGGGTAGTCTATCATTTAATTCCGCTACCATGTTGATGGGGGTGGGGGATTTGGGCCTCCGGCCACCTGCACTCACCAGACGAAACGCGGAAGCAGAGCTTCCACTTCACGCCGGTATTCTGTGAGGTCGTGGTACCACCCCGGTTTGAGCCGGCCCATACGTGCGACAGCAAAGCTGCCGCGTGGCTCTACCACTGTTAAATCATCATGAAGACCTTCTATAATAATGCTTTAGTATAATAGAGCTTACTATAATAAGTCCCTAATATAGGACTTGTCATTGTGCTACATACAGTACTTCAAGCAGTCGGGCATCCGACCACCCCATATATATGTACAACCTTGGTTATGCATCTCCGGCATTTTGGTTATGCATCCCTCCATGACTTACAATCTTATAAATGTTATTTATCTTTATTTTTATAATATTTTCGAATTGCATTTCTATTATTTATCATAT